TCTAATATCTTCATCCCATTAAAAGAAAATTCTAAAAAAAGATGTTATATATGGTCCAACAGAGTTAAACAAGTGATCTATCTGTGTTCTTGGAAGGCTGCCAGGGACTTCATGTCCTTTATTAAGGCAACATATTTGAAGCAAACATGAAATGGGTGGCCAAAAGCCACATAATGAATTATTCTAGACAACAAGAGATGAAGAGGCCATATAACTTGAGCCAGGAATCACAACCCTCAAATCCCAATATCTAGAATCTAATAATTGCAACGTGAAATTGGGAGCATGAATCTTCTAGGCAAGCAGGAATAAATGCATATAGGCAAATTAGTTTAACATCCCACATCCTAGGTGTTACAGAGAAAAGTGTAGCATATATTTGTGGCCCAAAAACCTCGAAAACAGCAACAATTAGCACTTTTGAGTGACAAGATGAGCCTGTGGTGAATTTGTAATTTTATAATTAGAAATTGAGTAATTAATACTGCCCAAATTTCAACTGTCAAAGCCAACTACCATTCCTATAAGCCGTTTGTTGTTTATCTAAAATTACCAACACTGTGTTTCCTTTTTTTAGATCTTCTAAAATGTCCTTAAACAATCCCATAAACAATTGTAAACTTGATCTCAGTTCATTACAATATAATGCAAAGAGCATTCTCCATGGCACAAATATACACAAATAAACATATGATACTTTAAATGCATTTGTTTTTTCTTAATTGTGCAAAAGCCAAGCATTAACTATATGAGAGCTTAAGAAGTTGCAAGGAGACAAATATCTTACCGGTTCCTCACGGAGATTAATCCAAAGAACTTGGGTTCGTTTCCCATCTTTTTGAGCCCCAATGTGCTTCAGTACGTTATGAATTCCAACCACTGTTGGAATAGCCACACCGTGGACACGCAATGAGTCAGCCTATTGAAGCAACCACAGAAGGGAAACAAATAAGAAGAGGATTGCTGACACAAAAAATCAGTGAAGTCAATGTTGTATTCACTGATAAGTAGAAACAGAGTAAGATAAATCACATATGCTAACATCATATCTTTCACTTGCATTTCGCTATTCAGTAGTTCAAACCAACAATTGGTTTGGAAATGCACTGCAAGAGGTATCGTCGATTATAAATACAAGAAATGAGAATTAGACAGAAAAAAACAATTGAGAAACTGTCGTTTAACCCGAGTCACAAGCTAAATGCAAGGCACAGATTTGAGTTAAGTTTGGGCGAGCAAGAAATTTCAAATCAGAGAAAAAACATTTGATCAATACACACGAAAAGAGGAAAACGACGAGGAAGGAGAGGAAGAAAGAAAAGAACCTGGCGGTAATTGGGAGCCCCATCGATGTGAGGAAACAAGCGCTTGTTTTGACAGCCAGGGAAATGGTCGCTCTTGAGAATAGTCTTTTTACCCAGCACTGATCCACCTCTCATCTTCATCACCTGCTCTGGCTCCTTTGGTATCGACATGGATCATTTAATCTCTCTCTCTCTCTCTCTCTCTCTCTCTGACCGGAACACTTAACTTTACTCTTTACGCACAAAATTCAGAATACTTTCCGCCCAAGGAGTTGAAGAATCCAATTACTTCTCTAATTTCCCATAATTATTTGCAAATGACTCTTGTTAAAACCTCTCTCTAGTTATTTTAGGGGATATTCGCCAGTCCAAAATGCCGCAAGTCCAATGGTTTTATCCCACAAGAATGCATGAATTCTGTAGTACTAAAAACCAGTACAAGGGAAAGAAATTCCACTAGCGCTCACAGGAAGAGAACAAATACCAAAGTAGGAAAAGAAATTTCCGGTGTAGCAGAAAGGAAATGGACCAAACAGAAGAACAAATACAAAGAAGGAAAAAGAAAAGCTGACCAGCAAACAAACAAGGGTGAGGAGGGTATTTATTGGGTGTTGAGGGAGAGGGATTTGCTCAACACTGGTAATTAATTTATACTTTGGGGAAGTAATTAAATGCCAAGCATAATACTACTAATCACTCCTTGCATAAATAATGGTTATTATATATCTCTTCTTTTAAGTTTTATTTAAAAATGTATTATTTTATTAAATTTTTTTGTAAAAATAATAATAATAACAAATTTAACAGTAAATAAAGTAATTAGTAATATATTTGTATAATTAAAAAATATTTAGATTTGTACATGGATGACTTGACACCCTACTGGGTCGCGTGCTTCATTGGATAACTCGTCAGCACCTTTGATTTTTTTTTTTTTTAAATTAATTTTATATGTATATGTATAAATAATTTTTAGTAATTATAAAGGGATAATAATAATTGTTGTTGAGTGTATAAAAATAGTTTCATGAATGACAACAAATTGTATTTAATGGAGTAGATAAGATCACATCCAAGAAGAAAAGATATTATATGGGAAAGGGAAATATGTGAAGAGTTTCTTTTTATTATTCAAGGAAGAGAAGTCAAATTTAGTTTCATTCACACGGTTACATCTATGAATATTTCCTTTAATATCTTTTAAATATGAAATTTTATTATAAGACATAAATAAATATGATGTATCAATTTAACAAGTAAATCAATGGCATTATTTTTATAATTAATTTTTATTCTTCTCCACCAAACCCAAGATTATCGAAAAAGGAAAAGAAAAAACATCTTCTCCTTCCAGAAGCTTGGAAATGGAAATTCGAACCACTAGCAAGAATGAGAAATTATGTTTTTCCATTGAATAATTCCTAAACAAATAAACAAACAAACACCTTCCAATATTACTTAAATAAATAAAATTATTGTTTTTATGTCAACTTTTATACATTAAGAAAGAAACAGTCAATTCTTTTGATTAAAATGGCATTTATATTTCTAAGCCTCCTAAAGAAGAAGAAGAAGAAAAAGTATATTATTGGACTAGTGCCCACATTTTCAAAGTTATATATCAACTTAAACTTTTGTACAAATTTATAAAATATTACATAAATTTAAATTAGACACACTTTATATTTTAATTGATTTAATATTCAAATCAAGTATTATGTATTCGATGTTTAGAAAATTAATATATCAAAAAATACGTAACCTACAGAGAAATCTACTCACAAAGTAACCATTTTTGAAGATGTTATTTGTGGTTGCGATAAATTTTTGTTTTCTTCAATTTTATATGTTTTAAGAATAATTAATATAATAAAAGGAATAATTTAATATATGATTTAAGTGTGTTTGAAGCTTTCATTTTGGAATTATTTTTAGTTGAGAAATGAAGCAAAAGCAAACATTATATTGACAGCAATTACACGCGGAGTAGTTGGTGTAATTGGCACCAAGTGAGAAAGAAGAATTCTTGATGAAGTTAAATGTAAACAATCTAAAAAATTGTTAAACTAAGAATATTAAAATTTAAACTTTCACTTGTAATTTAAGAGGAGGAAAATTATGACCGTTACAAAACAAGTTTTTTACATTAAAAAAATTAAATTAATTTTGACCTTTTATATAAATTAATTAATTGTTTTTTTTTTTTTTTTTTGGTTAGCATGGATGTTTGAACATATGTTGCAGAATGATACATTTTAGAAAACTTTTAAAAGTTGTAACCTCATCAAATTTATAATTTTAAAAATGCAACGCCAAAACTCATGCTTTACTTTCCTATTATAATTATTATTTAATTCAGAAGATTTGTGTATGACTCAAAAGCAGACAAAGAAATAATGCATTCAGTACAAGCTCAAAATAACATGAACTATTCAAATACGTTACCATCAAATTAGCAAATCAAACAAAAGAAGTAGAGAGGATTCTAAATAAGTTCAATCAAACTTCATTACATGTAGATTCATCATCCAAACCACTTGAACAAAAATCATTGTACGCAAAATAAACAAGCCCTTCAACTTCATTTAATACCAATTTCAATCCCCAATTCAATTTATTTTAGTAATAACTCCGAATTAAGTTTATCCTTGTTTAGTACACACTTCATTTTTGTTTTATGATATATTGTAATTTTTTTTTTTTTTTGCTCAATTCAAGTATGTCACTTTATAATTATTCTTATGAATAAAGTTAAACTGAATATTTAAACATGATCATTTAATATATTTCTGTTGAATTTTAGTCGAAATGACATAAAATCAGATAATTAAGAATATAAAAAACGAACAATAATATTTTTTTTAATTTTTATATCACATTGAATTACATCTAAATATATATATGACATTAATTAAACTTTAAGCATATAACTGTTGCACTAGTGTTAATTTCTAAGTCTACAGAAATTTGTTGGAAAGAGTTTTTGCTCTTTTGATTAATTTTTAATTACAGAGATGCTTATTTACAAATTGAATATTATAATTTTTAATGAAGTTGTAGCTTGGTAACTTTTTAAATTCAATTACATAATTTTTTTCTTGTAACTTACCCATCTTCTTTCCCTTGTTAACTAATAATCACCCAAAAAAAATAATAATATTTCTGTATTTAGAATTAAAAGCTTTGAATTAATTGATATAATATATATTTTTTTAAACAAAATTACAAGTCGATCAGGTAGTCCATAACAGTTTTAATATCTTCTCAATCTAATATTTCATGAACAAAAAATAATAAACCATCTATCTCTAATATTTATAATGTCTATTTCAATACTCTTAAAAACCCTAACATTCCTCTCCCTCCAAACAACCCACAAAATAAAAATCGAAATAAGAAATAATTCTTTTTTCTTTTTATGTAAACTAACCCACGCCCACAACTCGAATTAATTGATAGTACGTTATTAATAATACAAGTTACATTGTTAATAAAACGTGTTTTAATCATTTGCGTAGCTTAAAAGAAAATCTGCGGGAAGTAAGAAAAGAAAATAATTTTATCCTCCCACCTTCAGTAACAAAAGAGAAAAAAAAACGCACAAAAAAAACATGACAATCAAAATTATTATTTGAGATTGTATTTGTGTGTGTGCGTGTTGGAAAGTGAGGAAGAAACATGCCAGAACAAACCAAATGCGCCATAACTACTATTATCTTAGATTGGAAATTGGTAAAATATCCATGGGAGTTTGCGGAGACCATTTTGAGATTGAATGTTGGATACAAGCAAGTTGCTACCACATTCAATGGAGTTTTACCGACCATTTCGGCCTCGTACAGTCCCATAATATAGCAGGATTCAGATTCCATTCTTGTAACAAATATATTCTAATATTATATCACGAGAGAGTGCATAAACAAACACGCCCTTTAAGTAAAACAACCTAATGTCAAGCTGAGGCATCCTCCAGACCATCCTCATTCACAACCTCTTTAACAAGATTTTTGGTTGAAAGGCAAACCAGCAACTGCATCATCCTCAATTCCACACTCATTTGTTCCTCTTCTAATCTTGAAGTATCCATCCTGCAGTTCAAAATGACATACAACTTAATCAGACACGATACTTTTCTTCTCCCCACAGTCAGTCATTCAATGTAGAAAAAAACTTTACATACTTCACCCCAGCTTCTATTCCACTGATTGGCGATAAGCTGCAACAGAAAAAGAGTAAACAGCCAAGCAATTAGATCAATGGAATATACGGTGATAAACTGCTTGAAACTATGACCAGTTGATTTACCCAGTAATCCTCTCCGTCATCAGTTGTTCCCCATCCAATAAGTTTAACCGCGTGACCTCCAATCGAAGAACCAGCAATGTGCTTATAGACTCCAGACTTGTAATGAGCAAAATCCTGTCAAATGAAAATTAAGACAAGATTTTAATGATTTATATTTCTTAAGCACCAGAAATCTGGAGTTAAAAATTACTAAAACACAATAGTGTAGCTTGCACCATGATCACAAACTGAAGAAAAGACCAATGAAGTTTAGTATCATTTGCAAGTAATCAAGAACAAGCACAAAGCTATTAGAGCTTCTGTTACACAGAAAACGAATTGGTTCTAACTAATTGTGTCAAATGGGCCAAAGTGGTAGCATGTTCATATTTATAAAAGATACACCATACTAAGAAGCGAGAACTGAGGATATAGAGGTATAGTGCTTTATTATATACCTCATAAACAGTAAAGGACACCTCAACTGGTCCATTTCGATATACTTCTTCCATTATATTCTGTGGGTCGGAGTGAATTTTATATGCATGGACGCTGTAATGTTTAGACTGTTTCCACAGCTGATTCCCCTTAACACACTTCCTCACACACTTTGGAGTAGGCCATGCTGGTTCACAACCAGGATGGTTGCAGCCAGTATCATCAAAATATGGATCACACTGCAATTAGCATGCACAAGCTAGATATTATGATCGGAGTTAAAACAAATGACACAAGCAGCGTTCAAAATGAATAATTATTCAAGAAAATTCAATAATCTCACAAGAAATGAAGTGATAGACGCTAGCAAGTATGACAAAACAGTGAAAGCTGCAATGATGTAAACACAAGTTAATAAAATGAACAAATGGAAGATACCTCTTCGGTGACAACACCACGGTATACAAAGTATCGCCAAGCAGCAATTGGGTATCCCCCATCACAACCAGATCCACATAGGAAGCCACAACATGCTAAGAGATCATTTACAGAAAGAGAGATATTCTGCATGTAGAGAATATACACAAAGGTTAAATGAAGAATAAATAACCAGTAATTTGCTGTATTCTATACGAAAATTAATTACCATGCCAAAATGAATGCAAAAGCGATCAGATAGCGCTTCAACAGCACCAAAAGCCCAACAAGAACCACAATGACCCTGATCTTTGATATGCAAAGCCATCCATAAGTTGACATGTAAAATGAAATAAAGTCAGAACCTTCCACATTTCTCTTTTCTTCTTTAATGTAAGGAATCAGAAACCAATTTCAGAAAAGACATGAATTTAACTAACCAAGAATCCTTCCAATGGTGCTACACTGTGACCAAGCTGTCCTTGCATCAAAATTTTTTGGCAACCTCAAGGATTTATCATGTTTTACAACAGGGATACCCAACAATTCCTTCTTAGGCGTTGGTTTGACTCCAAGAAGGCGCTTAAATTCACCAACCTGTACATCAAGTAAATATTTTGGATATAGGAAATAGACAACACATTTGCACGTACAAGAAATGTTCGATACGTTAAAGTATAAATAATTGAACAAATCACTTCGTATCAGTTTAAACTTTTAGAATTCTAAAATTATATGAGAGTGAGAGACAACGTAAGATAACCGATGACTCACCGTGAAATTGGCAAATCGAGGATTCATGGCGGCTTGCCATCCAGCATTGGGATTTTCATTTACTTCTTTGACAATTGAATCCTGCATAAAGCAAGCAATTACCAAAAAAATTGTTAGATCCCCATTCAACTCAAAAAATAAATAAAGAAATAAGAAAAACAAAAAGTTCCCATTCAGAAAAATACTTGAAGAATCCGAGAGGTGAGTTTGAGCTCGGGAATTTGTTCCACTGCCATAACCTGCGGATACATAGCAACCACTATATCATAACAGCCGACACAATGTTTTTTACACAACAACAGCATATAAGCTATGGAAAGGAATTGGGTGAAGCAATCTTACCAGCAGTAGATCTAGAACATACGTCTTTAGCATACATACAAGTATATATATACTTCAATCCACCTTAATCAGAAATGTGAAAAAAAAAAAGAAAAAAAAAATTCTAGAGCTGGATAATTAACATAAGTGAAATGTTTCACATGACAAGTTCACAATCATCAGAAGCGTCCTAAAAACTAGGGCCCAATAACACCAACGAAGTTTCCCATAATAATCAGCAGTTTAAGAATAGATTCCGATCGAGGTAAGCTAAATCCAAAACCATTTTTATACATCCAAATAAACCAGAACATGAAACAAGAAGCAACAGGAAAAAAAAGCCCCAAAAAGACAAAAGAATCACCTGAATATTAAAGGTGGAGATGGCCCCAAAAAGTAACAAAAAGCAGGTCATGAGGAGCTGGATGGCAGAAATAGGAGCAGCCATGATCCTCCTCCTTCCTCTTCTCCTCCCTGAGAGTGAAGAAAGGAGCTGTTTGGATTGGAAATGAAAAGGGTTTCTTGCTGGTCTCCTCCCTTTGTTGGTTGGAGAGGATAAGGTCAGTGGCTGCGACGCGAAGAGATCATTAATTGGCCATTTTTTATATAGGGAAAACTGAAAAAAAAAAAAAAAAAAAAAAAACCAGAAAACCAATAATGATTAAAGACGTGTAAAGAGCCGATGAATCTTCCCTGCTCTAGGGTGGTTTGTCATTGAAGTTCCCTCTTAGGTCAAAATGGATGGCAGATTCTACTCCTCTGATTAATCACGATAAGTAGCTGAAAGATATTTTATACCCTTGTTTATAAACACTAAAACTCCTCCAGAGGTTGTTATCATAAATTTCACGATTTATAAACTTTTTAACAGTATATAAATTAATATTGTTTTTTATGAATAAATCATTAAATTAATTAACTGATATAAATCTAATTATAAGTAAATTTAGTTCATTTATATGTGCATAAAACTAATAAATTTATTCTTTTTAACGTGTAGAACAGCAAGAATATATTCTTTATCTGGAATTTATTTATTTATTTATTTATTCATTCATTATAAAATTATTATTGCCTACTCTTTATTTATAGTTAAGTATAAAACCTGATTTAATTAATAAATTGATAAGTATATATTATTTAATAAGATAAAATTATTTTTTTAAAAAAATAATTAGTAAGAAGATGAACAACAAATTCTTGAATGGGTAATTGAGATTTTGTTTTTTTAAAAAAATTAAAACCTAAATGATTACAAGTCCTTGAAATATTTGCTAATTGCATAAAAAATTTTAAAAGTGTTGTTAAAAATTTCATGAGCTTTTATTGATCAAGTTATAAGATGAGTCAACCATGCTCCAAAGCTTACACATTACAAATAAATATATACAAAAAAAAAAAGAAACATATAAACAGATTGACTATATGAGCTTATAATCCAACAAAAATCAAGTAAATACTTAGCTGATTGATGAATAATTTTTTAAAAAAAAGTTGAAATCAGAATAAAAAAATTTCTAAGCGTTATACAGTTCAAATCTAACAATTTTTTTTTAGTTTACTTAACCAAATAAATTGGATTAATATTTATTTAATATCAAAAAAATTGAAAAACACTTTTGTAATCTACATAAATTATTCACCACCCATCAACCCTATTTAGAAAATATTTTCTAAAATTTGAGTTTTTAGATGGGCTTGTGTGAAATTTGGTTTATCATATTTTATTCTTCTTTTATATTTACATTAAAAAAATGTAATCAATAAAGATCTTTGAATTTATCATATTCTAATTTAAATTAACATAAAATAATATTAAATAAAAATAAAATTACTAAATATTTTGTATTACTTTTATAAATTATAAAATTAAACAAATCAACCAACAAAAAATCAATATTTAAATGAAACTAAAATTTAAAACTAATAAAGTTTAGTTCAAACTTAGAGTCCAAATTACCTACAAACACTAACGTGAAAGGCTATAACAAAACTTAATTTAATATATTTCTTTAAAAAAATTAATTTAAGATGGTTGTGATCGTTTTTTCCCCTTAATGATTTGTGTAATAGTTTGAAAATACTTCCGTATTAATTTTTTATATTCAATATGTTTAATTTAACATTTATATGTATTTAGAAATATATAATAAGATTAAAAATATAATTTAGAGTCAAATGAAAAAATGATAAACAAGAATGAAAGAGTTAGAATAAGCATAAAGAGATATGAAAAAATGTAAGAACCTTCTAAATGAAATAGTATAATAAAAAGTAGTAACTATTAGATAAAATGACATAGTGGAAAGTAATAATTTTTAGATAAAATGACATATAAAAGTAATAATTTTTAGATGAAATGACATTACAGAAAGTGACAACTTAAAAGTAGTAACTTTTAGATGAAGTGACATTACAGAAAGTGACAACTTAAAAGTAGTAACTTTTAGATGAAATGACATTACAGAAAGTGACAACTTTTAAACCAAGTGAAATATAAAAAGTAGTAACCTTTTAAACGAAGTGACATATGAAAAAACGACATATGAAAAGTGGTAACCTTTTAAGTGAAATGACATAATGAAAATTAACAACTTTTAGATGAAATAGTATGACGGAATGGTGGCAACCTTTTTCTTGTGGTTATCCACTCCAATTAATAGAGGATAGGAGAAGGAAGAAAGAAACATTCTAGATAAGAAAAAAATAATGAAAAACATAGAGGTGAAGAAAGAAGGTGGAGTACAAACTGTGTGATTTTTTAGAGTATTCTGAAGTTTTAGATAAAAATCTTGTAAAAACTCTACTAAATTTGTGAGAGCAGAGAAAGAAGAAGAGAAGATAAATAAGGCTCACGATCAAAAGAAAGTTATAAATCATTATAAATGTAAGTTTTTTCTTAAGTTTTGAAATTCAGTTTTTTTTTTTTGTTTTTGATATTAGTTTTTTAATATTGTGTTGGATATTTTTTAGTCAAGAAAGTGATCAAAAATCATTCTGAAACTCTGTCAGATTTTTTAGAGAAAAATATTATAAATAAAGTCGGAATTCTATTGGAGTTAAAATTACGATTGCTAAGGATCTAAGATAAGTGGATATTATGGATTCATTAACCTACATAATTTTAGAATATTTTACGTATTTTCGGTATGAAAATGTAAAAGTATTTGAATTTTATTTCATATTTGTTAACTAAGTATTTGTTAAAATTTTACTTCGATATAAGTACTATTTCACTTTTTGTTTTCGAAATGTAATTTTGATATGTGTGCATCACTCATTATGGAAAGAAGTTATTCCGAAAATATCTGAATTATGTTAAACTTCAATCTGACCATACATAACCGTTCTGTATTCGCGTATATTGACAAAGTGATAAGTGTGCACTCATACATAATCGTTCCGTGTTCAGGTGTATTGACGAAATGATAAGTGTGCACCCATACATAACCGTTCCATGTTTGAATATATGAGAAAACAGTCTAATTTACATGCCGTAACCGTTCTGTATTCGGGGGGATAACAGTATTTCAAGGAACTCTTATATATCGTTCTGTATTTAGGTACATGAAAAATCAGTGATAAGTATTTGTGTCTATGCATAATGTATGATAACTTATTGATCTTCCATAATAGTGATGAAATATACAACATGGATCTATTTTCTAATTTGTGTATTCATTTTCTGATTCATATTTGTTTTGAAGAGATTGTAACACCCTAAATTTGAGACACAACTATTTAATTTTGAATGAATAAAACACTTTCGATTCATTTAATTTCATGAATTTTCACTAATTTATCTCTTTTTAATTTCTATTTTGTCGTGGAATGAGTGAATAAAAATTAAATTATCGCTGAATGGCAAAAAATAATTAAAGGGTTAATTTTGGACTTTTTCGAAAATAAATTCAGAAATCTGGACACAACTATAAATAAGGGGGACCTGTTTTAAAAAAAATTTAGGAAGCAAGGATCAATTCATGAAAAGAGAAAAAAAGGGCCACGTGAACGCTCAGTCAGTAGCACTATAAATCACCAGACACTGTGTGGCAGCCATGCTAACACGAGCTCTATGCGGGAAGCCACACTGACAACCCACATGTTAGGCCGATCGAACAGCTTGAGACCATTCTCGCGCGAGTGAACGATCGAGACCGGCTTCCTAAATAAGCTCGATTGGATGACCCACGTGTCTTCAGGTCTCCCAGATCGAACAACTGGATGAATTTTTTAAATAAGCGCGATCGGACGGTCCACGTGCCTCCACGCCTCTCGGGATGGATGGTCCAGATTGGTTGAAGAGAGGTATTTAAACTTCTCTTCAGTCAGCCCCAAAACCCTAGACGACGTAGGGCGACTAGAGAAGAAGAAGAAGGGTGGTCGAAAGAGAGCTCAGTTGCTGGAGAAACGTCGGCCCCATCATACCAGAACCCCAAAATGCATCAGTAAGCCCAAATTTTCTTCCTGTTCTTCCCGTTTTCCAATCCTTAACTGCCTAAACCATTTTCGATGTAGAGTAACTAAGAAAAGTCGCAAACTACGGAGAGGGACGATGAAGCTTGGCTGAGCCGCTGCACCGAAGAACCCAAACCATTCGGTAAGGCCAAAATATTTCCCTCCCTTCTCTGAAAAACGCCTCCTAACCACGATTTAAACAAATTTCTACTAGGAACTAGCCAAAATTGGTTTGGCTAGGAGGGAGAAGTGCTGGAGAAGGAGGACCAAATGACAGAGCTTAGCAGTGCCGCTGCGTCGGAACCCCCAGTGAGTTTTTTTTGCATTTTTCGCCATTCTTTGCATATTGTCATGCCGTTTTGATGTACATTTTCAAATTTTACCAGAAAAATCTAAGAAATTCAAGAATCAGGAACCGTCGTAAGCCGTAGTGAAAAAGACAGTTCCTGAACACCGATCCAGAGTAAGAATCCCTCATATTTTTCTCCTGTTATGATTAAATTAAAGCTTAATCAACAGTAAACGGAAAGTTTTAAATAGTTTGGCAATTCCTTGATTGATTAAATGCAGGTTGTTGATGGAGCTAATAATCGATTTGTTCATATTCGTCTTTATCTTATTTACGTTGTCTATACGTTATTTTTATCTATATTTTTATTTGATTTTAATTGTTTTTATATATATATATTTCATTTTAATTTGTTTTACTTTGTTTTTTACTAGTTTATTTCATTTTAGTTGGCCTAACTCGTTTCATTTTTCTTTCATTATGACTATTACATTAATCACACACCTTGAATTGTGGAAGGGTACTTTATTGTGCTTCATTTTCACTTTCTACTTTATTAAAATTCCACCTTGAGTTATCATTTCATTTTATTATTCATGTTATTGTGACATGTGGTGCTTTTATTCTATTATGATATTTTAATTCACTTTTATTTAATAGTTTTATTCCTTAATAAATTTTAAAGCATGAATTTCACTTTTTTGTATTTTTGAAGTATGGGTCTTATGTGTTACAGGGGGGCTAAATAATAATAGAAAATATGCATGTGTAAATCAATGTCATTATATAAGAGGGCTTATTGGGTATCATGGAAAAGAATGTACGAACTTGGTACATAGAGTGAACCCTACCGTGGACGTTGCCCTTAGCCGTACGAGACTGGAAAGTCCTATGTCAAACGGGGTTAGGAGTTTATAAATTTCGCTCATACCGGACGGGATATTAAGACGATTTTTTGTTGTGCTACCCATTATCGAACGGAGTATAGGGGCGACTGATCTATTTACCAAGAAAGTGTATGTATCTATTTACCAAGCATAGTGGGGATCTCTATGGACCCTTAGTGATACCGATAGGGAAAAGTAAAATGGTAGAGTAGAATGAGTATGGTAAAAAATATGACTTTGGTCAAATAGTGAAGAACCAAACAATTGAAATGTATGCTATTTGTAATTAAATTGTTATTATGATTTTATCTTAATGTATGACGCTTGAGAAGCTACTAGTTAAGGAGAAAATACTAGTATTTTCAGTGAAACGAGTAATGAATGCACTAGCATTCGAGTTTTATTACAAGGATACTCTATTGATTGTCTTATGTTTTTTTACAATTCTTTGATTTTTCGTGTAAGTGATAAGACATTGATATTCTGACTGAATTAGTGTAGCTCACTCCTTTCTTATTAACCATTTCAGATTAGGACGACCAAGACCCCGATCCTGAACAGTAAGAGATCAGCTAAACAATTACCTATTTTCTCTTTGTCAATTTCGAATAGAGGTTAATAATATTTATTTGTTAATGGTTTTCTCGTTTCAAGTTCTAAAGCATTTTCATAGCTCTATTTGGGCGTTTTAAATAAACGTGTAAGGAATGTAATATTCAAACCGTTAATTCTTCTGCTAAATAAAAGAATATGATATTATTATTATTATTATTCTGATTGGGGCCACAACACTTGAAATCTCTGCTAGGGGTTTTGGGCTTTTACAGAGATTATATGATATATGTTTTGTTGTGTGTAAATAAATTATATATTGTATGTACTATATTGTGATTTCATAATATTACTTATTGAGATATTTTATCTCACATCTCTATCACCCTCTAAATACTGAAGTTACTGCTGCTGAGTGAGTGGTGATATAGATGAAAGTTTTGAAGTTAGGCTTTGATACTAAGATTATTGTTTCGTACTCCTATTTAGTAATGTAAGTAAGAAAATTCAGAGTCTCATTCATATATTTATGTTTTACATTTAAGTGATGTAATGTTTCTGTAATTCTGTTATGATTAATAAAATTAAGTTATTTTATTTAACTTGAGTTTATGTGATTTAAATAAATATGCTCCGATGATTACTTTATAAGACATGGTATGATCTGTGACAATTTAATTTTTAACTCTATATAAAATTATGAACACCTACACCAACAAATCTAAAATTTGATACACCAAAATATATTTGCATCAGTATTTAATGTCTAAAAAATTTAAATATTAATGAGTATGGACTTAATTACCTTGCTAAGAACTATTTCTCTTTTCTAATTATATAGATCTATAAATAATCTTTTGAAAAATTTCAAGTGGAATTAAAATTAATGGATATAATATCTATCTTTTAAAATTATTTCTGCACGTGAAGAGAGCTCACGAGTTACAACTTGGAATGATTCGATATAAATTGTGTAATTATGATTCGTTGTTTTAGAGTAAAAAAAACAAATACATATAGATATAGTTATCTTCTCAATATATTTATACTTATGTATATATATTTGTAGTAGTATACAACTCGGAAGTTACCCTTTGATTAGTTTAAATGGGTTGCAAACTACAAAGATTGGTGGTTTCTTTTCTCCCTGTCTGAACCCGACTGAATGGTGATGTTATAAGTGGGTTCATTGGTCTGTATCTATCCCCATAACTAGGGATGGGCAGGGCGGTACAATCCAGTGGGCTCGTCGTTTTCCTGATACTTTTTTTTTTTTTTTTTTTTTTTTTTTTTTTTGGGCATGGTGCTAGTTTTGTTTTTTAATATTTATATTTTCAAAAGGATATAAAATTATTTTACATAGTTTTTTAAATATAATTTTAGCTCCATCGGTACTAACCAGCAAAATATGGTAAAATTTGTTATTTTGTGAATAAATTATAAATTAGTAATGATTAATTTATAATATTTGATTTAGTTTGACTAAAAATTTATTAAGTTAACCTAATACAATAACTAACAAAATATAGTAATTTAGTTGAGTTAAATTTTGATTAATTTATTATGTTTTTGAGTAAAAAAAAAAAAAACTATTCTGTAACAACTAAATTTCTTTAATTGAGTGAGATACAATGAATTAAATATCTGATTTAACATTTTTCATTGTTAAAAAAAAAAAAAACTTTATTGGCACTAAAATTCTCTGCCTAATAGTTTTATTTTATATGCCTAACATTTATGTAATTAGAAAAATTATAACTATGAAAAGACGTTATTAATATGATATAGTATCTTTTAATTTTTATTTATCCAAATTAAATTTAATAAAAATAAATAGTTTATGTTTGTGAAAAAATCAAAGCAATTTACATTAAATTAAAAAATATCAATCTCACCAGAAAATGGAAATCATCAAACGTAATAAATTTGCATCGACCCGAAGAGATACAGGTGTTTGAGGCTATTGTAAGAACATTATAAATTAAGGTGTCTGTCAAGAAGTTAAAAGCTACTATTGAAAATCTGAATTCTTTAAAATCACTGAGGCCTTTAAACAGTGGTAATTCCAATATAAGGTAAATGGTATTTGTACTAAAGTTATTGTGCATATTAAATCTTTCATGAATTACTTAAAGCCCTGGCCTGCTATAAGTATATCTTGCAATATTTATTATAGTTCCCTATTTCTTCTTCCTTTCAATCCAGCTAGGTTAATAAATTTTTGTGATTATAAAAGAAAGTATCCATATATATATATATATATATATTTATCAGTCCAGAAATTTAGCTGGTAATACACAAATTATTACACCCCAACATTTATGTATATTCATGAAGAGTAGGAGGGTTTCCAGAGAAATCAGTCTGTGTTATGTACGACGTGGTTTAAAGTGTTGAGCGCCTTGTCATATGATATAAATCCCATGAACCAGAATTCATAATTATCATTTGTGACAATGCGGATGTACCTCTCACAAGGGTTCAATCTGTTTGCACTAGGATTCACTGTCCGCAGCTGATCAACCTGCACCACCACCTGCATATACATATATACGTACATACATTAATATCAGATATACAAGTTCTTAGAAAATCAAAATCCCATCCTTGCAGAACATTCATCTTAACAACTAAAAGTGATAAAGAGATAACAAGCCAAGTGACACTAACCCAACAAATATGTATATGTTACCTTGTAGTGCATCCAGTCATGGGATCCGGTGGGAGAATATCGAGAGAGTGGATAATCACTACAAAAGCACACTCGTTTAGTTGAAACGTAAAGAGTCCCAATTACAGGTCCTGAGGATGTCGATAGATAGCAAACGAATGAATTTAACAGCTTCTCTCCAGCTAAAAGGTTGAATTCCTGTTGGAATACCTTAACAGGCCCTCCTTCTGTAAGCAATTTTGTTCCCTGAGCAAGCCTTGCCATTGCTGCATCACTCAGACTAGGACTCACCCTGACTATAAATTAAATCAATAACAGTTGATACGTTACAACCTAAACTCATGAGGTATTTTTCAGACAATCTCGAGAAGTCCCCTCAGTTGTGCAATCAATCAGTGAAGATCAAACAAAAAGTTATTCTGGCAGCTGAAGGATATTATAAGAAATTTAGCACAAGAACAGAGACAACAGAACAATGAGCAATTCCAGCAAACAAGAAATACCTCTAACTATTATCAATTTGAAGTCCCAATGTTTGAATGTTTCTAACATTCTTATCAGAATCTATAAAATAATTAATTATAGTAAATTATCCCAAAAGTTTAAACTGATGAAAATTACACAATTTATTATTATTTATATGTTAATACATCTACTCGCGTGTAACCCCAACTCTACCTTGTACTGAAATTAATTAACAGAATCAAAATCGAAACCAACATTCACATATTAAAACTCCTAAAGTCCCATACCATGAACTTAAAATGATATGAGAGCACGGACTCATTTTCACTTCCACGCTGTCCAGTAGTCTTCAAAATCTCTTTGATTCTCTGGAGTTATGGATTCATTTTCGCCATTATCAAGGTCAATGAAATCTCTTTCTACTGGTTTTAAATGGGAAACAAAACTTGCATAAAGAAGATCCAAATAGGAAAACACAAAGAAGAGAAAAACTCCATTCTGAATATTTCAAAAGCAGGAAAAATGGTTCAAGGTTAGAAAAACCCTGTGCTTAGAAGGTTCAACTTCCATCGTCTTACGAAGAAAAGTACTAGTGAAATGGTAATCTTCCAGACAGCACCCATTATCAACTCAAAGCAAAAGAAAAAGGAAATTAAAGAAGAATTTTTTTTTTTTTTTATAAAAAGAATGGACTTACGATGATGCCAAAAGCTGTCAGCAAGCGTCTCCGCTTTTCGCGTGGCATCTTCCATTCTCTTTCCGCATCGATTCAACGCATCGCATAACACACCCATCGGCCCTGTAAAACCTCCCATCCCAAGCTTAATTTCATAACACAATAACATACTTAATCACATATCAATTAGACCGCGGGGAGAGTAGGGAGGTTTATTAGGTTTCCATTAATAATCGTAAAAAGAAAATTTTATGAAAAACTCAAACTCACCCCTGCCGGATGCTGACGTTGGTGAGATCCGTATATAAGGATTACTGTCGTTGTTCATTGACGATGAAATTGAGAGTTGGGAGAAATCTGCGTAGGAAGCTCGGTTTCGTGAGTTGTGGATTTTGCGAAAGAGGATAGTTGTCGATTAATTAAGAAGGTAATTGCGTGATCCACCAAATTGGCGCCATCACCATCACTCCCGCCACTTTTCCTTGTGTCTCCGATTCTGATTCTGATTCTGGTATACTTTTTATGAGTTCTAGTTGTTGGATGAAAATCGGTCACGATCCGGTAATCCGGCAGGGACGACGAAGAACTGAGTTAAGCGATTGAATGGAATCGCATGTGCATGTGCATGTGCTCCCTGCTCATGGGTCTCCAAAAGATGGAGGTTCTCTGCTTTTTGGTCTGTTTGTTAATAGTCTTCTTCTTCATTTGCTGCCTTTTACAAAACTTATCGGCGCCTTAAACAAAATTATCAGACGAATTTGATTCTGAAGATGCTGGAATTATTTAACATTTTAACAAAAACAGGAAGTGTAATGAAAAATGGACAATCAAATTTCACTTCAGTTTAATTATAATTTTTTAAAAATTAAAAATACGGTTGAATGCTTTTATAAGGGTAAAATTGTGACATGAGCATAACTTTGCTAATAATTACTAAAACTTTATGCATACATTTATTAATATTTCGTTTTATTAAATATTTAATTTTAAGTTAAGTAGATTGAATAAATTAAATTTATAATTAAAATAACTATAATTGCAATAAGTTTTCTTTATGTGAATTTCAACATTCAGTAAGGATTTTTGTTAACTTTTGTTAGTGATTAATTGTTTATTTTAAATAATATTTGAATATACACAATCAAGTGTAGATAGGGAGAAAACATAAAAATAAATATATATATATAAATAATAATAAAAAAATGTTAGGAGATAATATGTAAGTTCTCTCTCATTCAAGGTGTGTCGTGAGTAAACTTCTTTCCATAACTTCCTAAAATTAGGAGCCCTAATTTGCAACAACCAAACACGGCTTTAGCTAATAGCGGCAGGTGTTTGCTGTTCGTTACGTAGTTAATAATGTTGATTAACGAATTAATTTTAGTAATAAAATTAGTTAATAATTAATTAATGAAATAAATGTTTGTTAAGAAATGGTGGGAGTGATGGAGACTGTTGTTTCAGTTTATGGCACACTCCCTCTGTGTACGTAATATACAATTTTTTTTTTTTTTTTTATAAAAAGAAAAAATTAAAAGGGAAAGAGAACAAGACGAGAGTGGAAGAGGTAAAGGTAAAATATACTAGAAATGAAAATGGGATTTCTGCACAGTTTTGGGTTTTCGTTTCATCCGAATGCAACTAATGTAAGTCTCTTTACTCTTATCCCCAAATCACTGTTTTACCTTCTCAATTTCTTCCTTCATCAGCACGAGTCATTGATTTCGCTTGCTGGGTTCGAGCTGTTTTTCTATGGGGATCATTCATGATTGTTGTTGCTAGTCTTCTTCTTATCCTCGATTTTGATGATTTTTTTTAGTTTCATACTCTCTCTTTTCTTAACAGCCTCAGCTCAATAATTTGCTGGTAATTATCGTAATTGCTGTAGTAGCTCACTGTTTCTTTTGGTGTAGTTTTCTGATCTATCAATATATTCATTCATCCGCTTGTAGAATCAAAATAATACACTGAGTCCGTTTGATTTTGCAAAATTGTGAAGTGAATTTTTCAATCTCTCTCGTTGGTGTTTGTACGTGTTCCTCTTTATACTGTTTAAAGTTTCTTGTTAACAATGTGAGTTTCTTTTTCTGGATTTTTACCATGATTTTAGAGCTATATTACTGGTCCTTGTTTTCTTTTTATTGTAGACGTAATTATATCAGCATTGTCTTGGAAATATTGTGAACTGAAGTAGTGTGGTGAAAAATTTCATATATGCCTTTGTCTCTGCACGATAATTCATGCCACTTTGGCAAATGCTGGTAGGCTTTCTGTAGGATCAATCAGAATCTGCTTATTCATATGTTTGTCTTATGGATCACGATTAATCACTGCTATCATTCTAATATGCAGCTAGGCCTTGCTTTGAAAATAGTTTCATCTTGAAGTCATGTGAATTTCATTTTCCTCTAGCTTGAAAATCCAGGTCATTATGGAATAATTTTTTCTGATGTGTTGTCTTTGAAAATGTTTAAGGCTGAAGAAATGGGCTCGTATGTAACATAAAGAACTTGAGATGTGTCCAGTTCCAGTTGTTCTCCTGTATGTGTCGATTGTTTCTTCATACTACTAAGGCTATGTTTGGTTTTATTCATTTATCATAGTTACAAGATATCCTTGATATGTGAATCTCATCAGAATTTTTTTTTCTTATTAAAAAAGGGAGAATACTACTCTGAAGATGCATAAATATTTATGATTTCTGTTTTAGTAGATAAGAATCATATATCCGTCTACATTGACTCGAAATATAATTAGAATACCGTTCTCAATTCCAATTGTATTCCGTTTTTGTTTATTCTTATTTCTATTTCATATTGTTACCCAAATGACCTTTGGACAAGTAGGCTGTGAGATTACGAGTCTAGTTTGCCTGGACTTTGTTTGATAGTGAAACATTTATTCTTTGCTCATCTGCTCAATGGAATTACTTTCCAATCATTATTTGCAAATTCATAGTTACTTCCACGAGGTCATAAAACTTATGAATTGACTTGGAAGCTCTAATGCTATTATATAGGATAGAGTGGTTGTTTGATTGTCAGATTTTAAGGAACTGATCACCTACAAATTTTATTACTGACTACAACATCTACTCTGTGCAGATATCCTTGTTCCCCCAATCGAGTCAAATTTATGATCTTCCCGTGACTCAATTGTGGAGCTCACCCTCTTCATGCCAATGGGCATTCTGAAGATCAACCATAAGCTATCAGGGGCGAGTAGCTATTGCAACCAAACATCTTACCCCTCTAATCTCAAAGGCACTGGGATGGAGGACAACCTAGCCTTGGGCACAGAATCAGGGGATGATTGTGATGATTGTGCCCTTACAGATGTGAACTGTGAACTAGGTATGGTTGATGATCAGCTCTGCATCATACCATACGAACTTTATGACCTTCCACACTTAAGGGACATATTATCTTTAGAAACATGGAATTTATGTTTGACAGAGGAAGAAAGGTTCTTACTGTCAGCTTATCTCCCTGATATGGATCAGCAAACTTTTTTTCTGACTATGAGCGAGCTCCTTGGTGGTAGTGATGTATTTTTTGGAAATCCCCTGGACAAATTTTTCCGAAGATTGAAAGGTGGATTTTATCCACCAAAAGTGGCTTGTTATAGAGAATGTTTGCAGTTCTTTCAAAAGAGAAAGTATTATCATTCCCTAATATCCTACCATGATAAAATGGTTCAGATGTTCAAGGACATGGGGAGGGTGTGGGACGAGTGTGAAATGAAGGTAGGTGTTACTGAAAGACTTTATATGTGGTCAAAAAATAGAAAGCGGAGGGACGTTGATTTGCTTGACCTTAATACCGTTCCCACAGATGGCTATATTCTAAATGAGGATGTTAAGTCAGATGCAATTGTGTGCCTTTTGTCAAATAAAGTGAAGTCTATGGAAAGTAAGAGACCAAATAATATTTTGCCTTCTCTCGTACCAAGCTGTGGTGCCAGGGGTGTTCTAAAAGTTAAGGCATCCAAGAATAGTGCATTCCATAATCGTACTCCAAAGATCTTCAGGGACATATCAGAAGAGGGTCGAACTGTAGCAAAAGGTCTACTGAAAGTAGTTCCAAAAGGTCCTGCAGTTAGACCAATGCAACCAAATGTGATGCCAAGACGACTGCAACCGATTTCTCTGGTCAGAACTCAAGGTTCAGAGCATTTTACTTCATCTCCTCTTCCAACATCTACATACCCTGGGAATGTAGGCGGGCTTATTGAATTACCTTCTCTTTGGCAGAATGTTGGTGGCAGCAAGGTCCATTCAATTCCAGAATTTCCTAAGTGTGTCTTGAATCATGAGGAGCTTACTTTACGAAGCAGTGGAGACGTGCAAAGTTCTACCAGAAAGATAAACAGGGAAATGGATCTGTTTGACGATATTGATGATTCAGGAAAACACAAATTGTTTGGAGGTGATGAGAGAAAGGGTTTTAATGGGGAACATTGGTGTAAGAAATTGGGCACAATAAACAAAGAATTTTGTCCAAAATCCTTGGAGCAATGCCCATTTGCTATTCCTTACTACCAACTTGAGCCGCACTTGCATACCATTCCTAAGGAGCGGATCTCTATCCATTCAAGACTTCCAGAAGTGATTCCGAGAATTTCAGATATTGGCAGTGTTCCTCGGGAAAGAGCAATATCAACTTCCTCATTTCAGATTAATGGCCAAAATGATGCAAGCATCAGAAAACTTGATAATCTTTCGAGTAATCACAGTGAGTCAGTGAGGATCAAGGATGAAGCTGTGCTTCCCTTAACATACAAGCGAAGGAAGGGTCAATTGAAGCTTAACTGTGAGGACTTGAGCAAATCAGTAACTGCAGGTGCTGATCTGGAGCCTGGTAATCCAAAAGAATCAAATCAACAACTCAGCAAAGCTGCAAAATCAGTGAAGGTAAAGTTCATGGGTTGGAAAGATGCCCTGTTGGACAAGGGACCTTGAACGAAATCTGATGGAGCTATATATGTAGGGCTCTTACAGATACATGGCTTCATGCATATGTAAATCAGTACATACATACGTAAATGAAAATCCTTATGTCCATGTTATCTCTTTGCCAATTGTTATGTTTTTGGACGTCTCTTAGCTGCCCCAAATACCTTGTCAGATGATACAAGGGATACTGATAAATTTGGTCACCTTGTCGCAGTTCAAGGTGGGTAAAAGTTAATTCAAGTTTTTGTTGAGTAATTTCCATTTAATACACATGGCGGTTAGGATTCTTTATAGATCATACTGGACACTTTGAAATGAACTTTCTTACCCCAATCCGTAATATAAGATAAAAATCAAGTTTCGTAAAATAATAAAATATTATTTAAAAATATGAATTGCAGCTTCGTTAAGAAAATAAGACACCTTAATATAATAACAATGATAATTGTATTACAAATATTAGATTTTAAATTTCTAATATACTAATTTTTTTTTTTATTTTTTATTTTTAAAAATAAAAATAAAAAAACACTATAATTTGACTTGGTTAAATCCAAACTGATGTGCTTTCTTATCCAAGAGAACGCAGAGGATGGCGCGTGGTTTGCTTCAAACCGTTAATAAGTTGTCTTCTCCACTGTCTTCTTCCCCTCACCAGCTCCTTTCAAAACCAAAACCATAACCATAGCTGCTTCAATGACCAACTCAATGCTCTCGCTCCGAATGCTCACCTGCTTCACCGCTTTACCTTCATCGTCATCATCTTCATCATCAACAACAAGACCTCGTTGTTCGTCTTTACCCGTGCCTCAAACCGTCAACACTGCCGTCGCTGCCTCTCTCAAGATTCCCTGCAACTTAGAGGCCATAGAATCTGACACACAGAGCGATAACAACAGTCTCAACAATAGGAACACTAAAATGAATGTTGGCAACCCTCGCGCAGACGACGACGAAGAAGAAGGAATTTCAAAAATCCGAGTGCCTCGTCAGAAGTACATCCCTGTTTCCAAGTCTGAACTCTTGGACGGCATAATTTCCGCACTCTTTGACTCTAAGGATGAAGATGCAAACCAATTTCTCCTCTTCTCCTCGTCGGTGGACTAATCCTTTGCTTTTTGCTGTATCCATCTAACTTAGTGATTTTCTTATGTATTTGTGCAACTGCAGGTGCTTGGACTCTATTCTTCACGCGGAGCACAAGCGCATTTTGGAGCAAATGCGATCTGATTATTTTTCCACTCAGAATATGGACGATGACGAGAGAGCCGGCGGCGGACAATCGGCTGGTTCTGAAACAGGAGCCGCCTACCAGCACGTTTTAGCCAACGGGGAGAAGTGTGTCTCTGAAAATGGGAGCCCAGATGGATGTCGCAAAGAATACAATGGGTTGCATGAGTTGCCATTACCCTTCACTTATGGTCTGGACTTGAGGAACCTCTTAGGTTCTTCAGACAAAAATGCCAAGTCACATTCCCAGGGGAAGACTAGGTTTGTCTCCAATTCCCTTGATTCTTCAGCTTAATCTGCGTTAATTATCTTGTCCCTATAGTAAATTGCAAGCCAATTAAAGACCACTTAACAGAAGTAGCCATTTCAATTATCCCGCTCTTCCTTCCCTTTCGATATTAGAGTCTAATTTGGTTTAACATCTAATTTCTATGCTGGTTTTAGTTCAATTTGACTAGTGCAAATTTGGATTATGCTCTTTTATTACATAAATTGGATTTTCTAGACTTGCGGTTGCCACTCGTTTCCAGCACGCTTTTATGCAACTTCTGAGTGACGCTCAGTTTGAAGAACTATCAGTTGAGGATTTGGCCTTGACATCTGCCTTGAACACAGACTATTTACTTACTTTGCCTATATATGTCGATTGGAAGAGAGCATCTGAATCAAATGCAATTATCTTCAGGTAGCTATGGTAGCTATATATTTCAAGTTGCTTTGGAAAGTCTGTATTATAAACTATTGTCCTCTTTGTTGCCTCAATATTGAAGTAGATTTAAACAAAAAATATAGAGTTTAGGTTGATGTTGGTTTTCATTCATTCCTTTGCCAATTCTGGGGTTCCAGGGACCCAGATTTCATATATTTTATTATTCTTTTGATTGAAGAAGAAATGGGAAAAGAAGAAAACATCAAAGGGTGATAATTTTATTTCCTTTTGAAGTTTGTTTACTTGTGGAGATCTAAGGTATCTCTAAAGTATACCCAAACTACCTGGGTAGAGCTCTTATCCTTATAATGAAATCTCATTATCACCATGATCGAGAAACTTCAAAACTCTGATGTCTTTGCACATTTATGTTTTCATATCATTACCATACAAGGATAAAGAGTGTTACTTTTTTTACTTTTCTTCAGCATACTAGCCTACCTTAGATGTTCCAGATGCTCTACCTTGCAAATATTGAAAATTATTTTGTTTTCTCAACTGATCACATTTTTCATTACAGGCGGGGATATGCAACTGAAAGGCAGAAGGGGCTGCTTATTGTTGAGAAGCTGGATTACATACAGTCAAAACTTCTTAGAGGAATATTTTCTATTGTTTCAAAGCCCTTGGGAAATTTTGGCAATTTGATAAAGGAGGTCACTTTTTTCTTTTTCTGTTAGTGACTGGTTCATAAATGTTTTTTTTTTGTCTCAGTCCCTCTTCTAATTTTTGTTCTAGTATGATTTGATGATCAGACCTTATTTTATTTTTCTCAGTGAACACATAGAATCTACGATACTGTTTAATCAACTAAGAGATTTTAGAGCTATATGTTCTTCTATGTGCAACTGGAGCATATTTCACTTCATCGACGTCAGATTGAGTGTTTTTGAAGAGAAAGGTGCATGCCTACATGAGAGAATTTCTTAACATTGTCAGTTTGAGTTAAGCGCTAAAAATTTTCAGAATTTGTTTTAGCAGAGCATCTATATGTTTTGTAAATCCTTTGAAAATTATTAGGGTCTGCAGTTCTTTGCTTTTTTTTTTTTTAAAAAAATATTTTGCTTCAGGCATATACATTTAGGCACACATGAATACGTAGGACGAGATGTATCCTGTGATTGGAGTTGGTGAAAACTTTTGCTCATATTGTCTAGAGTCTAGCAGTTCTGTTTTTACCTTAATATTGACTTAAACTACAGGCTTTGCATCTAGAGGTAAAGTACCTCTTCTACTGGTTTGAGGTATCATGTTTCACTAAGAAGTTTTACCTTAATGTTGTAAAAGATAGCTTATTTAAAGGTGTCAAGATTGAATATTTAAAATTTGAAGATTTTTTGGCTGCTAATTTTTATTAATTTTTTTTCTTCCTATTGAATGAATATAGTTTTGAATCTGTTGCTTGCTTTTGACTTGCTCTGTTTCAACTATTTTAGGACAGGCTTTCAGTAATGCATCTAATGCACCAGAAATACAAGATTGGACCAAGAGAATGAAGCTCTGGCTTAAGGAGCTTTACATTTTTCAGCAGTCATTGCTTAAAAACAAACAAGCTTCTGATAGTGAATTGCGAATAGACCAACTGTCAGACAGAGACCTTCCTATTTGGCTAGCAGCACAGAAGGCAGTGAGTCGCTATGAAGGACTCCTGGCACCTGTTGGACCCCGTGAAAGGCTCCTTAGAAAATTACTTGCATGGATTGGATTAATTCCTCCTCCTCCTGAGAAACCATTCCCACTTGACAGTGAAAGTAATGCTTCTGAACCTTATTTAAGGTTTGTAACTTTTTAAATTCTCTCTGCTCAGGTAATTTTCTTAGTATTTATTAGCTTTTCCTATTCAGATATTCATCTCTAGTATGATAGCTATACAAATGTTGTTTTCCTAATGGATGTACATGCATCTTAATATGTATACGTGAGGTGCTACTTGGATCTTTTCTTCAAAGTATTGGTTTGAAGTGTTTATACAGCCATTACCGCCTGCCAAGTGTTATTTTTTCTTTTCTTACTTGATTTCTACATCTGTGGTCTATTATTTGACAAGCTCTTAAAAGGTTTGAGCTAAGATTGTTATTATCTGAAATGAAGTAATAAAAAAATTGTTCACTCAGGTCAATTTTCTTATCAAGAATGACACTTAGTGATATATGGAAGCCTGCTTCAAATAAACTTTGTGGAAATGATTTTTGGAAAAAGTTCAAAACTTCCATTTCTATTCTTCTGTCACCATCAATTCTCCAGGTATTCCTTGTACATAAATTCATATGGTTTATTTCATTAAATTATCTTCATTACTGAATTTTTGGGATGGGTATTTACAGTTTATCCTTCTTCAACTATGGGAATATTTAAACACTACCCAAGCATTAATAAAGAGCTGTTAGTCAATTTTGGTTATGGAAGTTTGGTTGTATATACCATTTATGGTCTCCTGGGTTGGTGCTTTTGATGAGCAGGAGCCAGCATTCGAAGAATTGATTTTGCTTTATACAAAGGATATGGGTGAAGGAGATGGAAATGATAAAGCTGAATCTCGATCTCTGCAATTAAAAATATATGAAAGAATTCCAATTCCAGATTTGCCAGTAAATATTTCTAACACATCAATGTTTGTAATTTCTGTCATCTTCATGCTCGTGCCTTACTTTTTTAATGAGGCAGTTATAATCATTTCTTGACAGTTGTTTCCTTGATGCTGTTAAATTTCTATCTTGAATCTTTTCAGTTCTTGTCTTATCACTTGCAGGTTATTTTCCCTCACAAGAAGCTGTCTTTCCGTATCATAGACACAGTATGTGCACAAATGTTTATTTGACATATTTTAGATTTTCATCAAGATTGTCAAGGATAAGGTTTTCAAAATTGTATAAAGAGGTGGTCATGTTTTTCTTTTCATCTTCTTGTTTGTAAGTTCAATAATGTAGTATTGCAGATGCCAGCTTCCCAACATCCATTTTATGTGGCTTAGCCCATGACTGTCTGCTTACTAGAAGCTAAGCACATTAATTTAAAACTATTTGTTTATAGTCCATTTTTTTAAATCTTATCTAACTTTCCTTTGAAATATTGAGATTGTGGTTTAGGCGAATAATAGTTATGCCACTGGGCATACTGTAGTTTTTCTTAATTTTCATTAATTTTCAATAAAATTACAGAACTGTCCTTCATTTCAAGAAAATGGAGACTCAACTGAGTCCTGACCCCTTTTTTTAATTCTGTTTTCAACTTTATTTGTTTTTCGCAAAGCTCTTATGCATTTTTCATTTAATTTCCTAAATTAAACAACTTACATTTTCACTTGTTTTATTATTTTTCTCTCCTTGATTTATTTAGTCTATTCCTTTTTATGGGAACAGAAGTCTCATCAATGGGACACTACAGCTGCTTACATTAAAGCCTTGCTTCCATGTGATCTCTTATATCCATTGTTCATTTCATTTTCTATAAACTAGAAAAGTCGATTACCTATATATCTCCTACTTTATATTGGATTTCTTTTTGAACCTCTCTTTCTATCCTGAATTCATTTGGTTTTTTTGTTTCTTAACAGTCCCTTTCAATTTGACCAGCTATCTTCTTAATATGTCTTTAGTAACTAACTTTCTATCTTTGTTTCATTTGGTATAAAGTTTTACAGCAAAGCAGCTTGGCATGGGCCAATTAAGTGCAAAAAGAAAAAAAGAATCATAAAATTTATAATAGCCTGTGGAAAGCATGAGCGGCTTAACCTTGTAACTATATTAATTTGTCAACATAGAATGAACTATCAAACTATGAGTAACTTTAAGATGATGTGAAGAATAAGAGAAGATGCTTGAGCCTAATCTAGCCTTCTATCTCTTGGTGATGGTTTTTATATGCAAGATGAGCTAGTAAAAGTTTACGGGCATGAAGACTTAGAATTCTGCACTTGTGGTACCATGCAGAACAATTAATGTAAAGACCAATTATCCAAAAAATTTAAGCGATTAGGAAATGACTCAATTTAGTATTTATCTTTTTAGTTTCTATCATAAACTCCATGATGTGAATTTTTTCAGCTGCACTACTGGCTGATATATCTTTACCCAAACTGACCCTTTTTTTTATCATTTATCATTTTCTAAGAGACAAAAATTTGATCACAGTAATGTGAGGATATTTCCATTTCAGAGTATAGTATAACTTGGTGGATGTTATCATGTTATACTTGGAAAAGTAAAGACAACTCAAATATGCTGCATGCTTAGAGAAATGTGGTAAGCAATTTAGCTAATACATTGCAATGAGCATCTGAAGCTTCAGTCTTTCTGAAAGTGCTACCTATCTTTTTAGAATCATACAGAACGAAAGTTTGGGACTTATTATTTCATAAGTTTCTGAATGATACTCCTTAATCTCTGGCTTACCCTTTTGAGCCAAGCACTATAAAACCTCCAATTAAATATTTTCAGAAGTATAAAATGGATACTTTTAATGATGAAGAAAGAATGCTCTAACAGAAGTTTTTGGCCTATTGAACTAATAGCATTTGATCTCCTTTGAAGGTACGTTTGGATGCAGCCACAATATTGGGACTTTTGGCATATTTCATAAACTACAAATTTGAGGACATCTTATCTTCTCCGTATGTTAGTTTTCAATTGTATTGGCTTTTAGTTAAATGTCACTTACTTCAGAATTACCATGTTGCAGATAAGAATAGTAGTCATAGAAAATATCTTATGTCTGCATACATCCTTATGTTAGTTTCCCCCTTATACTGATTTTTTATCAGTACAGAATATTTCTTTTTCTTTCTTGTTCTTTATTTGTCTGGTCTACTGCTTATAACTCTCTCTTTTTTCCAAAATTTTTTTTTTCATCACAGATCAGCAATATTTCTTGATGTAATTGCTGTCAGTGCTCTAATAATATATGTGACTCGTGTGGCTTTGGGTTACAAACAAACATGGGATAGATATCAAGTGAGTGGAACAGATCAACAGATTCGTTATTGAGAATCTTTACTTATTATCATGAGTTTAAACTTTTAGTTCTATCTCCACTCTACGATATTAGTTAATTTCTGAGGAATTTATTTGATATTTCTGTAGCTTCTTGTCAACAAGACTCTCTATGAGAAAACCTTGGCCGGTGGCTTCGGCTCAGTTCATTTTCTTCTTGATGCTTCTCAACAGCAACAGGTGAGTAAATCCTGGTGTTTATATTCCCAGAAATGCAGGAGAAAAATTTAACACGAAATGCAAAACAGAATACTCCTTCATTAGATATAATGATACATAGTATTTTATACTGGATTTAGTCTATTTCTTGCTCAATTGTTGTATTACAGATCGAAAAAAATTCAACAGAAGATGTGAGCGAGAAAAACTGTTCAGATGTAGGCTGAGCACATCTGTACGGGGAACATAGTCTCTCCTCCTTCTCTCATCCTTCAGTGAGCAGGGAGGCAGTCTATGGTGCTCTCTCAGACTAGAAAATTTTTGGTCACAAAGAGCAAATCATTTGATATTGTTTTTGTGGGGAAGATAGCGGATAGAAATAGGGTGAGCTAAAAAGGAGAGGGTCTAGGGCTTCAATCACCTTTTGGGAGGATGAAGTTGAATGGTTGCTGTGACTTTTGCATGAGCATTACTGGACGAAGGAGGGAAGTTGTGGGGTCGGAATAAGGCAAGCAAAAGCCACAATCTATGACTGATATTAAGAGGTAATAACCGGAGAAAGTTTTTGGTCATCACAGAGAAGAAAGGGGAGGAAGTGATGCGCATCTTCATTTTGGAAGGTCCACTGGCCGGAGGATGGTGGAAGATAATGGTGGCGTTGTCTGAATGGTGGAGAGGAAGTTTGAGGTGTTGGGGGCAACCAAAGGAGATAAAATTGAGAAAACAGAAGGATAGGCATAGCCAGAGGCAATTCACGATAGCATGCCAGTTTTACTATACTGTCCAAGGTGTAAGACGGCGAAGATTTTGAGACAGGAGGTGAGAGGAGAGTGGAGTTTCGATGACGCACTAAAGGAAGGTATGCGAGAGGGCAAGCCAGGTAGGGAAGAAGAGACCCGCCTTCAAGATGGATCGGACTAAATTCGAAATCCATCAAAACACAATTAAGGGATGCCGTTTTGATTATGTGGGGGGCTTGAATGGATATTGGTCTGGAGAGCCAAAAGATAAAAAACATACGGGATTTAAGCCACGGTTCAGCTAGGTTGAGAAAGGGAAACGAGTTAAGTAAGACATGAAGGAGAAGCGGGTTAAAAGCCTCAGACCCAAGTCCAATTGCGACAGGAGATGAGAAGCTGAAACCCGAGTTGTGCCTAAGGGGAAACCAGGAAAAATATAGGAGGCGCAAGAACGTGGCTGCTACAACAGATTTGGGCGATGGAGAGGATAACAGAGAAAAGGGGGAGTTTAGTGGAGCTCAGGAGGAAGAAGAATCGGCTAAAGAAATGGTGATGGAAGTCGAAGCCAGTTTAATAGTGTGCAAGGTTGCGAGAAGGACGAAGAGGGATCTGCTCGGTGCTGGTGGTGGTTTTGATGGTGCATGATTAGGTTGAAGGGGAGCCTGGGCTGAAAAGAAATGCTTATGGTGCAGAAGGCTGAGGTGTTATTGGAGGATGAGAAGGGGGAACAGGAGAGAGATGAATGAGGAAGATAATTCTAGATGGGTCATTCCAGAATATACAACGAATTAGCAGAATGTTAGGGGTTGGTTTTGATGGATTAGAGGAGCACGCCATGATGCTTTTCAAGAGATTGAAAAAAGAAAAAAGGAGAAAGTGAGAGGGGAGAAGATAAGAAAAAATCCAGGGATAAAAATAGATAATGGGTGGAGGAACCTAGAGATTTGAGGAGGTTGAAATC